TAAGTTATAATTAATTTTTTTTAAAATGATCAAAATATTTGAATAATAGTGGTATTTTCTTGACTATATATAAATTATTAGGGTATTTAAACTAAGTTCGTGTAAAAAAAAAAAAAAAAAATTGTGTTTGAAATTTTAATTTTGTGTTGTTACTGTACAAATTTGCATGGATTGGGACGAATTTGATTAAGATCAAACCCAAATAAATTTTAAACTACGATTGGATTCGGTTCAGTCTCAACTCGACGTGATCGAGTTGGGTGTTGGGCCTTTGCTTGCCTTTTTTTGGGCAAATCTTACGGTCTTGACGTATTCGAGGCTAGTCTCGACATGACCGAATTGGGTGTTGGGCCTTTGCTTACCTTTCTTTGGGCAAATCTTACGGTCTTGACGTATTCGAGGCTAGTCTCGACGTGACCGAGTTGGGTGTTGGGCCTTTGGTTGCCTTTCGGCCTTTGGTTGCCTTTCTTTGGGCAAATCTTACCGCCTTGAGGTATTCGAGGCTAGTCTTGCATGTTTGATTGATGTATTATGAGCAGGACAAAAGAAATGTCCAATACCATTTATGTATTAAAAAACAATTAAAAAAAAAGCCACATATTATTACATATGTAAACAAATCTACGAGCTTCCAAAATTGCTGAATTATGTAGCATCCATCCAATCAACAAAATTTCCATAATTAATACCCTAAAATTCAGGAATAACATTATTATTATTATTTATTGATATAGAAAATTCTCTAATTTAATTACCCACGAATTTCTTTCACTATTCTCAACAACAAAATAACACATTAAAAGAACTATAATAATAATAATAATTATTATTATTATTATATATAACACCATGCAAATAAGTAATAGGAAACTTACTTCTTTATTATTTATATATTGATAATTATGTTAATAAAGAAAAAAAAAAAAAAAAAAAAAAAAAAAAAAGCTCATGGTGCAGCTCTTAGGATTCTATCTACCTTTACAATTGGAGTAACATCCAAGTCAAAAATCTACAAACAAAAAAAAAATATTAATCTAACCCAATTCCACAATCAAAATAGGCCCTCTGCATCATCAAATCAAACAAATTGATGAACAAAATCCTAAGATCAAAAAAGAATGTGAAAATGTGGAATTTGTTGAACTCTGAGATCACATACAGGGATTGTTTGGAGGAGTCTGCAATTTGGTAACGCCGTTGTTCTTATTCTTGCAGATCTGAATCCTGTTCTTTCTTGCTCGAGCCGCCATGAATCTGGAGTAATTCCTCTGGTTGATTTCTTCAAGAGAGATGTTCAAATCAGGAATCCCCATTGGGCTCAATGAAGAAGGATCATAGAAAGGAATTCCCCCAATCGGGATTTGAAAATTCTGACTGCCATTATTACTCTGTTCCGCCATGGGATCTGGCTGATGAGTTGAGGATTCGACTGTGAGCAGCTTAACGACTTCCATGGCCGAACTTGAGGTTCCTATTTCTGGAATTGCTGATTCGTTCTTAGAGCTGTTAGAACCGAGAATCATCTGGACAAGAAGAAGAACAGTAAGATTTTGATTCAAAAACAGAGCCCACAGAAAATAAGATAATGAAATTGGGGACTGCAGAGCTCCAAGTAGAAAAATTAAGAACCTCTTGCTTTTTGGCCTTCAATTCCGAATTGATAGCTTTCAGATGATTATAATGTTGCTTCATAGCTTCAAATTCCTGTTTTAATGGAAAATTAAATAAATAAAGAGAAGAAGAAGAAGAAGATAATATTTGTGAGGGTATGAAAAGTAGGGGGGAAAATATAGGAAAAGGACAAACGAATTTTGCAGCGCCCAGAAAAGGTAAAAAGAAAAATTAAAACAAATAAAATAAATGATAAAACTCACCCCTTTCAAACCTTGATTCTGCTTGGTCAATTCGTCAATGGCTTCCACAAACTGAGATTTCTGAATCCAAGATCCAAAAACATCGATAAGAACTCAACAGACAAAATCAGAGCCAGAGAACACAAACAACGAACAGAAATCACTAAAATTAGGTCTAAACAAGAAAATCAAATGTAAAAGAAGAGTAATCAATCGGTAATGCAATAGAGACCTTATCGAGAGAGGGCTTCTTCTTGGAGTGTTTAGCGTTGGTATGTTCATCGGATTCACTTCGCGACAACGGCAAGGAGTTGAGGACGAGAGGAGAGGTAGGGCTGGACTCCTTGACCTTCTTGGACGGCGGCGAAGGGACGGAGGCGGAGGATTCCGGCGGGGAAACTAAGGCGGATCTCTTGCGTCGGAGTGTCCAGACGGGGATAAATCCGAGATAAACGACGGATTTCTTCGAGAATTCGAGGAGGATTTGAGCGACTTCGTGTTCTTTAGGAGAGAAGGCGAAATCGAGAGAGGCGCAATGAGGAGTCGCCGCCATGGGAGCGAAGTTGGGAGGCTTAGGGCAAGGAAAATTCCATGGAAGGTTGAAGAAGAAAGGAAGAAGAAGGAGAGTATGAGGATTTTATAGAAGGAAGAACATGACGAAAGGAGAGCGTGTGAGTGTTTGGTTGAAGAAGACTACTGGGTTTCACAAAACCAGAATAGGAAAGGATTTTGGCAAAGAATGTGGGATGTGACACGTGTCGTCCGTATAGAGATTCAGGATGCCCCTCTAGGGTTTAAGCCTCTTCTCTCCGTCAACGGGCCCGAACAAGCCCAAAGGCCAACTCATGCTTAGGTCTAACCTTGGTCTTTAAAAGTCAAACTTTGACCCATTTATTCTATCTGATAGTAGCCATTTTAATGACTTACTTCGTCCTATTGAAACATACTAGCGTTGCAGAATACACTGAAATATACTAGCGTTGGATAATACAGTGAAACATACTAGCGTTGCATAATACAGTGAAACATACTAGAGTTGCAGAATACACTGAAACATACTAGAGTGGTAGAATATACGGAAACATACTAGAGTGGCAGAATACACTGAAACATACTAGAATGGCAGAATACACTAAAACATACTAGCGTTGCATAATACACTGAAACATACTAGATCAAATCTAAATTTGTCTTAACTATTTTTAAAAACAAAAAACTACGTTTGAAAGTCTTTCTCATCTCCATCCCGACCATCTATTATATAGTTATTGGAGTATTGAACAGGAGTGGGCGAGCCTGACTCCCAAAATATTCTTCAACCTCACAAAAATATATAATAATGGTTGGGTATTATTTGCAATTAGATAAATTTACAAAATATATAAAAGAATAACTTTTAAAATTTTTAATTTGGCTAAAATTTAAAAAAAAAATTGAATTTTACCATTTTTATATATAAAAGAAATTAAAGTTTATGTTGTTTATGAAAAATGTTTAGGTTAAATGTATAAAATTATAGAAGGGTTATCTAATTTAATTTTTTACTGTTTTAAGTATTTAATTATATTTGTTGTCTTTGGAAAATGGACAATAATAAGATAAGTTCTTGTTATTGGGACAATAAAGCCTCGATTTAGAAAAATATAACAATTTTTTAAAGGCAATTTTTTGAATTTTTATTTTATTTATTAAAAAAAGGAAATAGACGAAAATCAGAACAAAAAAGGAAAAAAAAGCTAAACATAGAATAGGAAGTTGTACCGTACTTTCAATCTCGTTTTGACCCAAGTGGGTAACAATCCATATCTAGGAGTTGGATTAGGATTTGAAATTTGGATTAGGTACTTGATGATCCCGACATTCGCTGCCAACATGATTTAAGTTACTTACTCATCGCTTTTAAAAATGAAAATTATCCTTACAAACAAACACAAGTCTTTCTACCATACTTTATTTTAAGTAAACACGTTTAATTATGAAGTTTCTATGATCTGAGTCGTGCGTATTATTGGTATAATAAAATAAGGACCACAGATTATTCCCTTCTTGCAACACCGCACCTGACTCACGATGCTCTTTTTAGCCTCTCGAAATTTGGGCCAAATTTGGGCCATCGTGAGCAAATGGCCCATTTTATTTGAGCCCGGCCCAATGCATCATCGGTGTTTCCCTCTTGCATTTCATTTATTCATGGGAAAATATAAAAAATTCATTAAAAATATTTAGATTAACAAATAATTATATTAGTTTTTTAAAATAAGTTTAAATTTTGATTATTCATACATTCAATTTGGTGATATTTTTGTTATATTTTAATGATTCTTTCATTAAATATAATCAAAATATTGATTGATTTCTCATGTCGATATTGAATTTATGAACATATGAAATATCATGACATCAATGAAAATTTACCATTAAGATCAAATCTTATGAAAATACCGTGACGTCAATCAAAATTTACCACTAAGATCAAATCTCATTTTGGCTCAACTCTCAGTTTTATTACCTTTAGTTCATAAACATTCAAAACCTACCTCATCAATATATATATATATTATCATCCTTAATTCAATAACTACACATACAAACCTTTTGAAATTTATACCTAAAAAAAATGACTTTTTAAAATTTTTATTAAAAGTAAAAGAGTGACTTTTGAAACTTAACACATACATACATGTCAAATTTTAAACTTTAAACGTCTTAATTTTACTAGAAATAATGACCTCACTTATATACCCGGACTTTTTTCCTTAAGTAGTCGAGGTGGAATTCCAACTTTCTTCAACAAATTCACCTTTAATATGGCTCAAATCCTGACCTTGATTTAAATGCAAAATTTAAGAACATATTCTCTGAGCAAAACCCAAAGAAAAAAATATAAAGGCCTTTCCAGATGGAAAAAAATAAGAGGATAAATGATTGAAAACTACGAAGGAATTGGCACTGGTGCCAATTCGGTGAAGTCGAATCAGAAACAGGTGAAATGGAGAAAGAACCAATTGGCCCCACAGAATTTATGCCAAAGCAAATTAACAAACAATCTTCATCTCTCTCTCTTTCTATATATATACGACCACTATTCTTCTGAATTCCCCAAGCTCAAACAACAGAGAGAAGAACAATGGGTTGGTTGATAAGAGAGAGGAGAGGCCCATCATGGAAACAAGGATGGGCAGAGCAGGCCTTGGCCTCCATAGCTCCTCCGCCAAGGCCTCTGCTTGCTGTTCTTGGAATCTTGGTCATTTTGCTATCTGTGTCATCATATTCAAGCTACAGATCCCAGGTGAAAAGAACAAAGGTCAATTTCAAGATCTTTTTCTTGTTATTACCTCTAGTGTTTGTGTTTGTTGGAAACTCGATTGTTAGATATGGTCGTCTTGTAATCATCACTCCGAGAACAAAGCTCGAGCCGGTATACGTCGCAGAAGGCACCGCTGCCTCACCTTGGGGTGCGGCGGCGTTGCTGGTGGTGTTGTTGGTTTTGATATCTTATCAGCCTTACTTCCACTCTAAATGGTTTCCATCAATATGGAGACCGTATTATTATTAGGCTGTGATGCTTTGGCTTTGCGTTGTTCCCTGCAGTATGTTCCTCTTAATTGCTACCTTCTCAATAATTCCACAAATATGTTGTGAGAGTACTAACTTACACATGCATGCTGCTCCTTAATTTGTGAGATTTGAAAGGGGTCTTTGATTCACTTTCGACGTCTTTCTTCTGTTTTAAGCTCCCGTCCTCCTAATAACCAAAAAACGTAACATGTTATTGTTAAGGATTGTTGGGAGAGGAGTCTCATATCAGCTAATTAAGGGGTTGATCATGGATTTATAAATAAAGAATACATCTCTATTGGTACGAGGCCTCTTGGGTAAACCAAAAGTAAAGTCACAAAAGATTATGCTTAAAGTGGACAATATCATATCACCGTGGAGAGCCGAAGGAAGAAGAATACACGATCACTACATCTAACCACATCTAACCAGCCTAGATGGATTGTCCATTCACAATATTCTTTCATTGTGATATCAGTTTAAGTCAGTCTATCTTAATTGCTCACAAATTTGACATTATTGAGAGATCACAGGCATGAGGTAAAAAGGCATATTCATTTAGGCAAAAATCTCTCAATCTCTTCTCTATTCGTTTGGAGGGGAATGAATCATTCATTATAAGAGTGGACTTGGACTACAATCAGTGGGCTTGAGCCGCTACAAATGGTATCAGAATCAAATACTGGGTAATAGGACGCTAAGCCCTCAAAAGGGTGGATTGTGATATCCCACATCGATTGAAGAGGAGAACGAAACAGTCCTTAAAAGGGTATGCAAATCTCTCCCTAGTAGACGCGTTTTAAACCCTTGAGGAAAAGTGGGGCTTTGGTTACGTTTCTTACTTTCTTTTAATCTCAGTGTGTACTAGTAGTAAACTTTAGTTCTGCTTTGTTCTAGGTTTCTCTTTCAGGACCCATGTTTCATATAGATTACAATTGTACTGGAGCAATATGAGCATCTCATTCCTAAAAAATGAAATTGGAAATGGATAGCTATAGTTGATAAATGGATCATATGCACACAGAACTTCAAACTTAGATAAAGAGAACAACAGAGCCTAGGAGTAATAGCTGAAGCAACAAGACAAGAAATTCTTACCTTTCCAGAATCTCCATTGCCACGAGGTGCTTGTGCAGAAGATGCTTTTCTTTTTCCTTCACTCCTAAGCCATAGGTTTTCTAGCCAGATGTGCATCGGTTTAACACCGATGCGCCAGTATGCTTTCTTGAGACTTCCAACTCATGAAAGATTCTACCAAAATCATCGTTTAATTTTCTAGAATCAACCTCAATCTTTTCCAACTTACTTTCTAAGCCTGCTTTTTGTGCAATCCTTTTCATTATTCGAAGATTGAAGTTCTTCCATATTAGCAAGAAGATTTTCAATCTCTGCACGATTATGCCAAGAAGATTTTCAGAGCTCCTTTCGGATGCTAGCGTTTCTCGTAATCTCTGCATCTCGCAACTCTAGGTCTTGGAATTTCGTTTTCGTTAGATTTTCCAACCTATAATGAACTTCTTGAAGAAACATCCTGAAACTATTTGAAAGTTACAACTATAAAGTTCAAAAAGAAAACATTGAAGAATTTAAAAGATATTGGATCGCAAACATACAGATCGGTGGTTTTAGCAGAGAGAGGGCTAAAAATTGTTTGAAATCTTGCAACTCGTTGTTCGTCATTTCGGCAACATAACAAAAATATCGATCGAGTGAAATGCAACAATGTCAACACCTACAAAAAAAACCTGATATAATTTGACAAAGAAAAGCGTCTCTCTCCTTCAAACTCGTGTTGAAATCCGACTTCGATGCATCAAGCGATCGTTCCATATCTCGCAAAAACCAAATTCCCTCTCAACTACACAGAAACGCCCAAAATTTCTCAACAACAACAGACTAAAATCTTCACGGCGTTCTTCTTAAATCGGAACAAAAGAGAGAGCGAATTAAAGACGGAACCGATACCTGGCAGATCAAATCTTCGTGAAGACGAGTAACTGAGGTCCACCGATCGTGTTGCAGTCTCCCTCCCGCGCCTTTTCAATTTTCATATTCATTTTTAAATTATATTTTCAAGTTAAGAATTATTATCTTAAATTTGGTATGTCAACTTATTTTACCATTATTTTGAATTAAATATTTGAAATCAATATATTAAAATGTCCAAAATATCCTTATACTATCCATTACCTACATTCCATAGTTGATGACAAAATAGACATTTTAGAAATTTTAAAACATGAAAAAATTATATATCTATATATATATAACAAAGAAGAAACTTAAAAGTAGAAATAGTGTTTATAATAAATTTAATAATTAATTACATTTATTAGACATAAATTATAATAAATTATATAATTAATAGTATTTATTAGACATAATTTAAAAATGTTATAAGTCGTAATTTCTAGAGTAAATACGGAATGGAAATTGGATAATTTCTTTGAATTAAATGTGAGAAATTTTCTGCTAATGTCATGATTTAAAATTATTTTTAAATATTGGACCCATTATTATTCTTCAAATAATTTTTATTTTAATTTCTGATTTTTACTAATTTATAAAAATAAAAAATAAAAAAAAATCTAAATATTTTATTTTTATTTTTTTGTCATTTCCTATCATTTACAGCTGTGGCGCGTACAATGACTCATTCATGATCAGGATCAGGATAAGCTCCAACGTCTGTTGTTTCATTATTCACCTTCTAATTTATTACTTTCAGGTATTTTGACTTAATTAATAAAAATATAATTAAATTTTTATAATTTATTTCAAAAATACTTTTAATTTTTTAAAAACTTCAATAATACCTTTACATTTTTTTTTTAAAATAACTAAAATATATCCTGAGTTCCAAAATATTTTTATCCATAAATACCGCTAATAGTTTGTTTACTAAAAATACAAAAATAACTTTAAAAAATGTTCGAAAATACACTTGAATATTCTTAAACTTTTTTAAATAAAATTAAAATTTATTTACTATTAGTACCACGTTTCAATAATACTCATCAATTTTTTAAAATAATATTAAAATATTTATAGATAATTTAGGAGGCGTTCGATAGATTGTTTTCTGATAATAAATTTTTTTAACTTTTTTTTATTAAAATAAATGGTGTAAATGCTGCTTTTAAAAAGTTTTGTGGATATTTTTTAATTATTGTATTAATGGTATTTTTAAAAAATGTAAGGATAATAATAAAATTTTAAAATTTTAATAATAATTTTACCTAAGTTATTTATTTTTTATTTTTTAATTTACTAATAAGATGGTGAGGTGACATTTTTTATAAATAAATAAATATATATATATATAGATATATATTACTCTTTCTTCGTCGTCTTCCTCCTTTTTCACGTTGCATCATCAGCTAAACCATGAAACTGCACACGGATCATTGAACTGAAATGAACTCATGCCCACGCACAGTTTGAGGTCTTTGCACAACAAGATCGAACAAATTAATAGCTTAAATTGTTCGAAAGTTAAGATCTCACCTGATATCGTAGGTCATAGATGTATTGCATATATCTTATCTAAAACCGTCTAGAATTTGCAAATATGGTATGTTGCCTCTACACATTACGTAGGAAAATAAAATAAACTGCTTGCTGAATGAAATTTAATGCATACTACAGTCCCATCTTGAGTTCCAAAGTCTTGTTACGATTTTAAATAATAGGTCTCATCATCATATGCATGGGATTGCATTACTAACCCTATTAGTGGGGCGACTTACTGAATACCTAAAGCGCCCATGCACGTCACATTAAGCTAGTTCATAAAGAAGTTGGTTCGAGATTACTTACTGAAGTCCCACAGCTTGGTTTCTAGAGTCGTATATATCCCGTACGAGCAATGCCAATTTTTTAATTAATAAATTAAAAAATATATATATATTGCAACCACCAACACCAACTATTAATCATCACTATCCCTAATTGGCTTCGATTCCCTAATTTTTCCTTCTTGTTTTATTCAGCTAATATATTCCTTTTCCTACTTAACTTGGCACCAAAACAAAACCTAATTTTGTCCTTATTATTATTTTTTAATTAATTATTCTAACATGAATATAAATTTGAATGTTAGGTTAAACTGGACCAAAATGTTTAGGTTGGCGTGCCTCTCTGGATTGCATCTATTTAGTTCGATATGACTACGAAATATCGTTTCATATGTTGGGACGTTTGTGGTAGCTACAACGTCATATATTGTTAATTATTGAAATATTTCTGTGCACAAAAGTCTGCAGCTAGCTCGAGAATTGAAATTTAACGAATTTATTATCAATCAACAATCTCATTAATTTGGTTTAACGAGGTGATGGAAGATCGTTTTACTTGTTGGATACCTCTGTGGTAGCTACAACGTCATGTATGGTTAATTATTCACAAAAGTATGCAACTTGTTCGAGAATTGAAATTCAATAATTTTGTCATCGAATAAGAGTAATTATCGAGGTATTTTTTTTTATTTTATGTATATATATATATTTATATTTTGCAACACCATTGGTTAACGACAAATTTATATATTTTTTAATATAATTTAGGAATACATCCTAAAATTATAATTCTAATATTTTTAATTGAAAAAAATATATTAAATCGCAGTCTTTCAACCATATTAATAGGTTTTTCTTTTAACTTCTAATTTGTCTAATAATTTTTTAATATATTCACTATTTTTAAAACTAAAAAAAACTAATAAAATATTAGATATTTAATTTTAGGTTGGATAAATTTGTAATTTTTTAAATATTTCCAAAAGTTAATAGACCATTTAATTAAAAGTTGAAGAATTTTATTAACCATAAAATTAAAAAAAAATATTTAGGCATATTTTAAATTTTATAAAAGACTAAATTAATAAAAATACATTGAGTTTTAAAAAATTTATTAATATCTTAAAATTTTTAATATTAGATATTTAATTTTAGGTTGGATAGATTTGTAATTTTTTAAATATTTCCAAAAGTCAATAGACCATTTAATTAAAAGTTGAAGAATTTTATTAACCATAAAATTAAAAAAAAATATTTAGGCATATTTTAAATTTTATAAAAGACTAAATTAATAAAAATACATTGAGTTTTAAAAAATTTATTAATATCTTAAAATTTTTAATATTAGATATTTAATTTTAGGTTGGATAGATTTGTAATTTTTTAAATATTTCCAAAAGTTAATAGACCATTTAATTAAAAGTTGAAGAATTTTATTAACCATAAAATTAAAAAAAATATTTAGGCTATTTTAAATTTTATAAAAGACTAAATTAATAAAAATACATTGAGTTTTAAAAAATTTATTAATATCTTAAAATTTTTAATATTAGATATTTAATTTTAGGTTGGATAGATTTGTAATTTTTTAAATATTTCCAAAAGTTAATAGACCATTTAATTAAAAGTGGAAGAATTTTATTAACCATAAAATTAAAAAAAAATATTTAGGCTATTTTAAATTTTATAAAAGACTAAATTAATAAAAATACATTGAGTTTTAAAAAATTTATTAATATCTTAAACATTTTTAAAAATTTTAAAACACTTTTAAATTAAAAAAAAAATTGAAAAAGATACATTTAACCACGTTTAAAAAAATATTCATCAACTTTTAAAAGTAAATTATTTATGATTTATTTTTATAATGCTATTTTAAAAATTTATAAATATTTTTTAAACATTATTAACTGTATATTTTTAAAAAAGTTCGAGTGTTAATTAAATTTTTTTAAGTTAAAAATTAACATATATTTTTAAAATACGCTTACAAGTTTAAGAATATTTTTGAAACAAAGTAATAATTTCGATAATGATATTTTTTTTTATGTATATTTATTTTTCAAAGTTTTATTTTTATATATTAATTAAAACTTTCATAGATATTTTTATTAATTTAGTAAAAATAAAATAAAACCATTAGCCGCCTTTGCTATGGAAAAGTCGCATTCCAAGAATACCAAATTTGCAAAGCTGGCGCCTGGCTGGAACCAAAGTGCATTATTTTAAATATTAATATGTACTCTGTCTTTATTCATGAATCATCACTAAACTCGATGTTATCCAACTCAATTTCCTAAGCTCATAGCTTTTAATTAAAAAATATATATAAATTTTAGTATTACGTAGTATTAAAATTTTAAATTAATTAATGTTTTATTTTATAAAAAAACAATTAATCTTATTTAAATTGAGTTTTAGATTTTATCTCATTAAAAATAAAAACGTGTCTCCGTTTGTGAGATAAAGTATCGATACCTTTCTTTATGCTAGTAATAAGTTAGACAAGGTATTATAGCGTCTATTTCATTATTTTTTATTTTCAACAATACGGCCCACATGATTCCACGTATTAATTCAAAACTCGATCAAGATGTATTTGGACTATTCGTTGGATCAAAATAGCTTGAAAGGACTCAATTGGAGCTTATCGGGTGATTCCAACCCTAATCGAGACCTATCAAGGCATTGCTATACATCAATCCAAAACTTGACCAAGATGCGTTTAGACCCTTCGTTGGGTCAAAATGGCCTGAAAACGCTAACCGGAGATTATCGGGTGATTTCAACCTTACTCAGGACCTATCAAAACGCTCTACTCATCAATCCAAAACTTGAAATGGCTTGAAAGCATTCAATGGGAGCTTATCAGGTAATTTTAACTCTAATCGAGACTCATTAACGCACTGCTACAAATCAACCAAAAACTTGATCGAGATGTGTTTAGACCCTTCGGTGGGTTAAAATGACTTGAAAACGCTAATTGCAGCTTACAGAGTGATTATTATCGAAATCCATCGAAAAATTATAATTCTTCCATCTCGAGAGTTGGTATCTCCATTTATGTAATGATTTAAAGGAGCCAAAATTATTTTAATTTATTCAACAAAATAATAAAAATATTTAAAGTAAGGAATAATAATAATAAAAGAATTAAAATTCCCTTTCTCTCTGTTCACTGAACCACAAAGCCAAAGCCTTTAGCTATAAAAACCACCCCTCTCTCACTCTCTCAATTATCTCCAAAATGGCTATCTCCTCCAAAGCTCTCATTGCTTCCCTCCTCCTCTC